GCAAGTGCGGGGGGCGCGTCTGCGGGCCAGGCCGGCCTTCCGAGCCTGCGGCTGCCTCTGCTGTGGGCCGCTGGGGCGGGGCGGGGCTGCGTGGGCGCTTCCTGTGGGGCGGCTGTGTTGTCACATCTCTTCCTTTGTGTGCAGCTAGTGATTACACCCTGTACCCGTTTTCCACACAAAACCCCAAGGACTTCCAGAACCTCCTGTCCGTGTACCTGGATGCAGTCTTCTTCCCGTGCTTGCGGGAACTGGACTTCTGGTAAGCGGTGGCCGGTTCCCTGGCCTGTGCTTCGGTGACGGCGTCACTGTCCTCGTGTAATTGTCGGTCGCTCCTCAGGCAGGAAGGGTGGCGGCTGGAGCACGAGGACCCGAACGACCCGCAGACGCCCTTGGTCTTTAAAGGAGTCGTCTTTAATGAGATGAAGGGCGCGTTTGTGAGTGTTTTCCTTTGTTGTGTTGACGTTATCCTACTGTGTAAAGTGCTGAAACACAGAGAGGCTTGGAAGACGTCCTTATGGCACTGAGTGTCCTCGTTGTCAGCACTTGACTTAGCGGGGACAGCGCTGTGAGCGGCGGCCGCAGGGCGGTGGGTGGACTAGCAGTCTCAGCCGTGCTGTGCGGCCGCGGAGGCTGGGGCGTGGTCTCCTCACGTCTTCCTGGCCCGAGTATACAGCGGGGTTTACGGAGTCAATTACATCTCAAGTTCTCAGATCAGGACCACCGCGGTCAAGTGAATACCGCAGTAAAGCGGGTCACGCACGTTGTCTGATTTCCGGTGCCCATTAATGTCGTGCTGACGCTGTGCTCTGGTCTGGTAAACCTGCAGTAGCACCGTGTCTAAGAACATGCCGTGATTAAGAACCCCTCATTGCTAAAGGGTGTGTCTGGGTGGGCGTCCCTGTTTACCACGAGATGTTGGCATGCGGCCCCCGATCGTGGCCCCTCACCGAGCCGCAGGCACAGCGTGTGTGCTGCTTCTCACACGCACTGTGTTTTTAACCCGAAGACAGACAACGAGAGGATATTCTCGCAGCACCTGCAGAGCCGCCTGCTTCCCGACCACACGTACGCTGTGGTCTCCGGAGGGGACCCCTTGTGCATCCCAGACCTCACGTGGGAGCAGCTGAGGCAGTTCCACGCCACGCACTACCACCCCAGCAATGCCAGGTGACGCGCCTTGCCGCCGGCCCTTAGCTCTTCTTGCCCTGAATGCTTCTCTCACGTTTGCTGTGGAAAGGTTTGCTTTAAACCGTGTGAGTTTAGACAAGATTCTGACTTGGACGCCCAGCGTGGTGGGTGCCCCTCCTGCCCTGAACGCGGGCAGACGCCGGGGAGCGCTCACTGCTAAACTTTGATTTTCACTTTCTAAACTTTGAGTAGAAGGTTTGAAAGGATCTTTAAGATTCTAGTTCCCAAACCTTTAAGCGTAGCTCAGGCAACGTTATATTAAACAGATCAAGCCTGTCATTGTCTCCTTAATCCCCTGGGTGAATACTGTGTTGTCTTAAAACATGTGTGGTCTGAAATCTGTAGCCTAAATGTGACCTTCACGACGTTCTGAGTCTTACCAGTTAGGCTCAGATGCGTCACTATGTCAGCGCGGCGGAGGCCTGAAGTCTTCCCATGTGTAGCTTGTCTGGGTTTTTGCGGCTCCTTGATTCAAAATGAAGAGCAGTTTTTGCCAGACTTACATTTAACCCCTTGTACAGTTAGTGCTTTGTTTAAACCACGTCTTATAAAAAGAGCAGAAGCCTCTATTGTTGTCTGTGGTTAAGCCAAGTGGGAAAAAGTGGCCCCTCGCGGCGGTCGCGTCAGCCCGGGACCCGGCTCTGTGGTGGCTGTCACACCTGCAAACCGCCTGCTTCACATGAAGCCGTCTGTGTTGGTTTCTGACCTTTTAACCTAACATAGGCTGAGATACTCCCTCAAAATTTCAGGTTCTTCACTTATGGTGATTTCCCGCTGGAACAGCATCTGAAACAGATTCATGAAGAAGCGCTGAGTAAATTTGAGAAGATTGAGCCACGGACGGCGGTGCCCGCGCAGCGGCCGTGGCCGGAGCCGGTGGGTGCGCCGGGGAGCGGTACCCCGCCCACGCCTGTTCACTGTGCGCAGAGGGAGGCTCCGACGGCTGTTGCCAGGCCTTTAAATGCTGTGGGCACTGCCCTGTGTTTAAGAGCTTCTCGAGCCTGAAGAATGGTTACTTGTTTGAAAGGAAAGTTAAACTTAGTGGGAAGTGTCTCTTGGACCATTTTCTACATCCGGTAACGGCTGCTTGCTTAGACCCGTCCACGTATCCTCTGCCCACGTAACGCGCCCCGCCCTCTTGCAGAGGGAGTTCCAGATCACGTGTGCCCGGGACTCGCTGGCTGCGGGGTCCTCTGAGCAGACAACGGTCAGCGTCAGCTTCCTCCTGCCAGAGTGAGTGTCCGCGGGACCCGGAGGGACAGGGCCAGTGGGAGGTCGTGGGCAACGCCCCCATGGGAGTCCAGCAGGTGTTGGATGTCAGGTGTTTGCAACCACGTCCAGGCTGGTTTGGGGTTTAGGGCTGGGGTCACAGGTGCGTCTGAGCATGAGGAGAGACTGTGAACTCTGGACGCAGAAAAATACTGGACACACAAGACTCTGAACGTAGAGGTCTGGGCGCTCAGGACGTGTGGGCAGGAAGGGGTCCGGCCACGCTACTGGGTGCGGGCCTCTGTGGCTGCACAGCTTGACTTAGTGGCCCCACTCCCTCAGTGTTTACGTCCGTGTGGACGGGGCGGTTACAGTAGATAGTGCCCATCAGGGTGCTTGGCGCCGGCCTGTGATGGCACTCCGTCCGCAGCCGTGTAAGCCTTGCGGTTTGGGACCCCCCCCAAAACCCAGTACGCAAGAGCTTTTCAAACCAAAATATATATATTTTTTTTGTCCATTTAACTATTCAAATAGAGGTTGAGATGCAAGAAATTCTGGTAGAAATTCAGTTTTGGGGGGAAATGGAAGTGTTAATTTAGTGGTGATTTTAATGACTTTGAAAACATTTGTGACAACCGTTTCCCCCTTTTCTCTGCTCCCCACTTGTATAAATGAAGCATCACCAACACGTTTGAAGCCTTCACCTTGAGCCTTTTGTCCTCCCTCCTGATCAGCGGCCCCAACTCCCCCTTCTACAAAGCCCTTGTCGAATCTGGACTCGGCACAGACTTTTCTCCTGACGTTGGGTATGTTTTCCTGTCAAATCAGATCCTCAGTCCACGGCTGGGGGCATTTTGACGTTTGACAGTGTCTGGACCCATCGTGGGTTGTCACAGCTGGTGGGTGGAGGTCGGGGGTGTAGGGGGCTCCACGTCCCACAGTCGCAGTACGGCCCTACCCACCCCAGCTTTGGTTCCCGTACAGGCTGTTTATGTCCTTGCAGGGGACATTCTGCAAAAAAACAAAAGCCAGCAAGGTAGCTCTTCCAGCATCTCAGAACGGCAGGCATGTTGTTGCCTGTCTTAAAAAGTCAGGTCACTAAATGTTCATTGAAATCTTAAGATTTCGTGAAACTCCGGAATCCTCTTTTTAAATTTATTCTTCTGGTACTCTAAAGTTTAAATCGCGGTGATTTTACAAATGTAAACTGACCAGTTGTATCTGAGGAGCGAGCGCCTGGGGACTCTGCATCGGTGGCTGCCACATGGGGTCTGAAGTTCTCAGCCCTGCGCTGTAGCGTATTTGATCTTTCAGGGGCACGCGTCCTAAGGAACAGTGGAAACTAGATTCCAAGGCGTTCTCTGCCTTTGTGATTCAGGTATAACGGCTGCACGAGGGAGGCCTACTTCAGCGTGGGCCTGCAGGGCATCGCCGAGAAGGACATCCAGACGGTCCGGGACCTTGTGGACCGGACGCTGGATGACGTCATCCTGTACGTGAGCGCGCGGGGACAGGCTTGTCCCAGCTCCCGGGCTGGGGGGGTGGGTTGGGGGCCGGGGGCAGTGTCTCCTCACGCAGCACAGCTGAATTCCTACCCGTCAGCTGTTGGAGTATTATCTCTGCTTCCTTGTTCACAACCATTGATTTCAACGTCTGAATTCTTGATATTTCTGTAGGCAAGGATTTGAAGACGATCGAATTGAAGCTTTACTTCATAAAGTTGAAATACAGATGAAGCACCAGTCCGCCAGCTTTGGACTCGCCCTGGCGTCTGTGTGTAATTAATTTCTCAGACACCTCCTTCTCTCCTTGCTTTTGTGTTAGTGATTCTTGAAAGTGTAGATTGTTACTCACAGCACCTTTCATTTGAACCTTGAAGGTTACAATGTTTGGGATCTGATACAAAACTACTGTTCATTTAGTTTTAGTTCATTGTGTTTTGAGGGGAGGGTATAGCTCAGTGGTAGAGTGCGTGCCTAGCATGCATGAGGTCCTGGGTTCAATCCCCAGTGCCACCACTAAAAAAATAAAAAAATAAATCTAATCACCCCCTAAAACCCCCCAAAATAAAAAAACTAGTAAAGTGAAATTAAAATTTAAAAAAAGATACATGGTTCTTTTACTAGCTTATTACTTCATTAACTTTTCAACGTCTGAGATTTACACAGTACTTTAAATGGGCAGAGATTTATAGTAACTGTCGAGCTGTTGGTAATTATATTTTCCCAAAAGTAATTTTTAGACCTGTGCTTTTTAGTTTATTAGGAAAAAAGCACAAAGTGAGTTTAATTTTTCTTCTTCTGGAGAAAGAATGACTTAACTTTTGTTATGAACAGTCATCTGTGGTGTTTTAAATGTGGAAACTGAGGTCTGAAGGGCAAGCCAGGCCTGTGAGGCTCCTGCGCTGACGCGGAGTCCGCGGGGTAATGTGCATGGTGTTGTAACTCCTCTGCAGCACGTGGCTTCCTGCTGGAATCATGACGGGGACCCCGTGGAGTGCCTGAAGCTGGGGAGCCAGGTGGCTCGGTTCAGGCAGTGCCTGGAGGAGAATCCCAAGTTTTTGCAAGAAAAAGTAAAACAGTACTTTAAGGTAAGACAGTTGGAGAGTCTGTAATTTTGGAGGTGAATTTTATAGTAATGAGAGGAATATGAGGAGTATGATCTGCATTGTGTTAGTAAATGGGCAATGTAATTTCTTAGTTATTAAAAGTGTAAATGGTCATATTAGCTTTAAAAATGTTTTTCAGGTTTTCATGCAAGTTGGTTTTTTTCTGAGTATGTACGTGTACTCTTCACGTGTGAGTGTGCGTGTGTGGGTGTGTAAGGGGACATCCGCTTGCGCGTTTGTTCCGCTGGTGGAAGGATCGCGCACAAGAGGCGTCTCCGTGTGTGGACTTTCTGGTGGTGGTTCCGAAGGGCTCGTCTGCGCCGCCTGCTGCTTCCCCAGGCTCGTGGGCTCCTGCACTTAGTGTGTGTTCTTGGTGGGTCTCCGTCACTGGTGGGGTAAAGGTCCTTGAGGCCTCGCCCGATGGGGAGGGCTGTCCCGTGGTGGGGGTGGCCGTGGTCTGAGCGCCATGTTCAGGGCGCGAGCCGTGTGTGGGCATTCGGGCCGAGGTCGCTGTGAGTTACAGGCTATTTTGCATGAAGTTCTTCCACTGTCTTAGTGTTACAGGTGAGCCTTTGCGTGTGGTTCTAGTTGCTAAAATAGGGGAGGCATGTTAAGTCACCTAACATTTATTTTTGTGTCAGGTCAGCATTTACTTGGTCCTCATAATTTACAGCACACAGAGTGAGGAATTCAGTTCCAGCCTTTGGGAGGGTGTTGGCATAATGAAGACAAGATGAAGATCATATTTTATTCCACGTTATCTTCAATTTCAACTGAAGCCAAAGATTTATAACAATAAAAAGTGCAAGCAGTTTCTTTGCACAGCCAAGATGTAGAGGAAGCGAATGTCCAGTTGTCGTGGTTCCGACCCGGTAACCATGGTGACTGTCATCCCGTAGCAGTGATAGCCGCACGTGGGGACCACGCAGGTCGTCAGGGCAGAGCACGGGGGCTGTAAGGACCACCGTAGCTCGAGTGCCCCTGCACACAGCCCTCTGGGCGAGTCCCGTTGAGATCTCCATGTGCGATGGGAAAACAGAACTGCGGGCCGACGGCGGCTCTGGGAGGGGCTAGCTCGGGGCGCCGGACGTGATGAAGTCTGTTCCCATTTGGCCCTTTGTTGCTCTGCTTGTTGCAGGATAATCGGCATAAGCTGATTCTGTCCATGAAGCCAGACGACCAGTATTCCGAGAAGCAGGCACAGGTGGAGGCAGAGAAACTGAAGCAGAAGGTCGACTCTCTTTCCCCGGAGGACAAGCAGCAGATCTACGAGAAAGGTCCGCGCCAGCCCTGCCCCCGCCTTCCCCAGCCCACGGGGCTCCCTGGCGGTAAATGGGTGGAGACAGGTGTCGTCTCCACGGACAGTGCTCACCGGGCGCCTGCAGAGCTCCACGCCCGGTGCAGTGGGTTCAGCCCCAGGAGGGCTGACCGTGTGCTCAGAAGCCACCCTGTGCTCCAGCAGCAAAGGCAGGAGCTGAGAAAGAGGTGGCTTTGCAAGGTTTATCCGCTTTCCAGGTTTGATGCATGGTCTCTCCGCGCGGGGCTGTAACAGGCCGCTGAGCGTGTCGCGTCACGGTTCACAGTGAGCTGCCCATCGGGCCGTGTGGACGGTGCATGCCGTGGGTTCAGGGGAGGCAGGTCTGGGGGACAGACCCGGAGCGCGTCCTGAAGCTCCACTGGGTCCGTGTGGTGCCGGCGCGGTGAGCACAGACCCCGTCTGTCATGGGATGGTGCTCACGGGCTCTCCTGAGCAGCCGGGTCTGCTCCTGGTACTTCCCCAGAGGGACGGAGGCGTCCGTCCACGCGAGCCTTGACCCGCCTCACTCCCACCCGCCGGGTGTCCACGCGGTGCGGGCCTGGGAAGCGCTGCTCGGCCAGAGGCTGCAGGGGCCGGGCCCTCAGTGCCATCGGTCTCAGAAGCGCTGTGCTGAGTGCGGTGAGCAGCGCAGGGGGCACTGCTGACGGGGCTCGCTCCTCGGAGCCCTGGACACGGCAAAGCTGTGGGGACGGAAGGCGGCGAGGCTGGAGCGGGCGGGGTGCCTGCAGGGGCCCTTCCCAGGCGAGGGCGTGTTGTGTTACCACACACACTGCCGAGTTGCTGTGAACGGCGTCACATGTAAGTTAGACGTGCGTAGAGTCTGTTACTACGCGCACACAGCACACACACGCGCAAACACGCGTGCACCGCTCCCCTGCACCCGGACCGCGTTGTGAGGCGTCCAAGGCTTGTCAGGAGGCGGAGGTGACTTGAGGTAGAAAGAAATTCCGTTTTGATCATGCTGAGTTTGAGGTGATTTAATCTTGTAAAGACAAAATTAGTGTCAGTGTGTGACCGGTTTTGTGTGTCTGAATTCTTGTTTGGACGTGCAGTTACTTTAAACGTGCCGTAGATTCAACGTGCTCACTGTGATTGGTGCAGTGAACAAGCGTCTGTGCCGTGAGTGCCAGCCGACAGGTTCCAGCTTCCTTCTCCAGGTTTTCTTTTGAGGAGGAATTGACATACAACGCTGTGTTAGTTTCAGGTGTACGCTGTAAATGTTTGATACATTACACGTCACGAGGTGACCATCACAGTAAGTCCAGTAACGTCCATCGCTGCACATGGTTACAACTTTGTCTTGGGGTGAGAACGATTAAGTTTAGTCTCTCAGCGGACTTCAGACACGCAGCGCGGTGTCAGTAACCACGGTAGCCGTGCTGCCTGTCACGTCCCCAGGAGTTCTTTTATAACCGCAGGTTTGTACCTGTGACCCCCGCCCTCCATTTTCCCACCCGCCCCACAGCCACCATTCTTTTCTCCGTATCTGTGAGCTTGATTTTTTGTGTTTTTGCTTCTTCAGATTCCGCGTATAAGCAGATCGTAGGTGTTTGTCTTTCTCTGACTGACTTCACTGAGCGTGATGCCCTCGAGGTCCATCACGCTGCTGCAAATGGCAGGATTTCCTTCTCTTTTATGGCTGAATCGTAGTCCATTTGTAAACACCCCACGGCTTCTCTATCCAGCCGTCTGTCGACGGGCACTTAGGTTGCTCCCATGTCTTGGCTGCTGTGAACATGGGTGCGCGTGTCTATACACGTGAGTGTCTTCATCTTGTTTGCATACACACCCAGGAGGGGAATTGCCGGACCACATGGCGGTTCTGTTTTTCGGTTTTTGAGGAACCTCCACGCTGCTCTCTGGCGGCTGCGCAGTTTACGTTCCCAGCAGCGGTGCACAGGGGCCCCCTTTCCTCCCGCCCTCGCCGACGCCTGTTATCTGTGGTCTTCTCGCTGCTGGCCCCTCTGACAGGCGTGAGGTGATGTCTCGTCGGGGTTTGATCTGCGTTTCCCTGATGATTAGTGATGCTGAGCATCTGTTCAAGTACCTGCTGGCCACCGGTGTGTCTTTGGAAGCAAGCTAGCTCAGATCCTGCGCCCGTTTTTTCATTGGATGGTTTGGTTTTCACTGTTGGTTCCCTTAGACGTTTGGGGTGTTCGCTCCGCACCAGGTGGTGCTTCATTTGCAGGCATTCTGTCCCGCTGAGCAGCGGCCGTTGCCCCTCCATAGTGTCCTTTGCTGTTAGAAGCTTTTCCGTTTGCTGTGGCCCCGCCTGTTTGTAGCACAGACAGTAATTCCGTGCCTGAGCAGCAGGACGTGCGTCCCGCAGTTGTCAGATTCCTGGCCTGGCCGTGGAGCTGTGCTGTGTTAGGAAGACCAGGGTGATCCCGTCCAGCCCTGCACGGGAAGGAGTGGGGGCCCCATTAAAAAGGTGTGTTTTGTTTCGGGGATCACTGCAGAGCTCTGTTAAGTAGGACCCAGTGCTGGTGTGCTGAACGGTTGCCTTGGCTCCGCAGGTCTTCAGTGTGGCCCCCAGTGTGGGGAATCTGTGGATAAACACCAGTGAGGACGGGGGCGGGAGTAACGTCCAGGCGTCCTCGGTTCTGGTGTCTGTGTTTCTATGCACGTGAGGGGCCGGCAGGGCCTGGGATCTGGCCAGGGAGGCGGTGCCGAGAGGGGCCGCGGGGTCGGGGCAGGCGGGGGACGTTCTCTGGGACTAGGACCTTCACGCTGTCCCAGCCCTGGGCCCGGTGGGAGGCAAGATGGCCTTCTCCAAGAGCGTGAGTGAGGCAGCGTTCTGGGGCAGGGGGTCGGAACGCTCAGTTGGCGGGGGTAACCACCAGGGGGAGGGGGCCTTGAGTCCGGGAGGGTTTGAGCGGGTCTCCCGGCGGGTGGGGGGGAGGCTGAGGGGAGGGGGCCGGGTCGGGGCCTCCCCCGGGGACCTGGGCTGTGGGGAGCCCAAAGGGGGGCGGGGCGGGGGTGG